CGATCAATAGCACCGGTTCGTGGCAAACCTTTAGTATCGGTTCATGTCACGAACCGGTACTAAAGAGGCTGTGTCAGCCTGCGGTCAGGCTATGGCCCCACCATCACCATTTAGTGCCGGTTCGTACCACGAACCGGTACTAATGAGGTTATGACAAGCTGTTTTTAGTCTCACCTCGCCAAGAGAGAGGGACTAGGAGCGGTTTATAAGCCCTGAGTGCAGAGACGATGAAGAAGATGCTCAATGCTCACGTTGCTTAGCTTCAAGCCTTCAGGAATATGGTAGATTGCACAGAGCTACGCGCAGTGCAGTTTACACTATTCCGAAAGGCTTGAAGCAAATTAACGAGCATTGTACCTCTTTTTTATTTTTAATAACTTATTACAACTCCGGACTTCTTCTGTTATGGCAAAAACTAATTGCACGTCGGCATTTCTTTTTTTTAAACTTTGGTTATAACTCCAGACTTTGACCATCAAGTTTTGCAGAAAAGAAAAAATAGCAGAAAAGAAAAAATAGCAGAAAAGAAAAAAACTATAGCTGAAAAGAAAAAAAAACTATATAAAAAAACTACTCAGAAATAAATAGAAGAAAATAAATATAGCAGAAAAGGAAAAAAAATTATATTTGCTATTTTTCAATCGTTCACAAAATGACCGTGAAATTGAAAATCACTACAAAATGAACTCTCAAAATGTTGAATTTTGGCAAACTAGATGAATAAAACTACTCACAAATAAATAGAAGAAAATAAATATAACAGAAAAGAAAAAACTATACAAAAAACTACGCAGAAATAAATAGAAGAAAATAAAGCAGAAAAGAAAAAAACTATAAAAAAAATTGGGGCGCAGCCCTGTGGGCCTGCTTGGCCACAGGCGTGCAATTACAGGCCTTAAAGGCCCAGCAGACTCACAGGGCAGCGCGCACAGTTTAGGCCCACAAGCCTGCTATATAGAGGAGTTCGAAGAGGTAGCCGCGGCTGGGTTTATAAACCAGTGCGGCTGCCGTTCGCCCGGCGAGGTGGGACTAAACTTTGGGGTGGCAGCGCAAGGCCTTTAGTACCGGTTGGTGGCTCGAACCGGTACTAAAGACCACCCTTTAGTACTGGTTGGAACCACCAACCGATACTAAAGGCCTGCTCTTCCCGCCTCTTGGCCTGGCCAAAGTTGGCCTTTAATACTGGTTGGTGGCTCCAACTGGTACTAAAGGCCTCTCCTATATATACAACACTTACGAAAATTCAGTTAGATCTCCCCACTTATTTTGTCTCCAACCTCTCGTGCGCCGCTCGAACCCGTCCTCGCCGCCCATCGCCCGTCGTCCGTCGTCATCGTCGCTGTCCCCGCCGCCGCCCATCGTCGTTGCCGTCTCGCGCCGCCGCCCCGAACGTCGCGCGCCGCCGTCCGTCGTCATCCCGCCGTGGTCCCGTACGTCTCTCGCTCTCGTGTATACCCGCCGCGCCGCCGTCCGTCGTCCTCGCACCCGGCCCGTACGGCGGCGCCCCCGCCCGTACATACGCCGCCGCCCCCGCCCCATACGCCGGCGCCCCCGCTCGTACGTACGGGGCGGCGGCGTACGGGGCCGCACACATACACACATACACACACATATATACATACACACTATACACACACATACACACACACACATTTTTTTTACTTATTTTCTGTTTTTTTAGAAAAGTTAATTAGATGATCGAATGTTTGATTAATGTCGAATGTTAGATGAATTAGCTAGATAGAAAATTGTCGAACTAGGGATTTGAACTAGTTGAATAATTAATATAACTAGTTTATTTTTAGTAAGAAAATTATCAAACTAGTTTATTTAGGTATATGAGATTTGAACTAGTTCAATAATTAATATAACTAGTTTATTTTTAGTAAGAAAATTGTTGAACTAGTTTATTTAGGTATATGAGATTTGAACTAGTTCAATAATTAATATAACTAGTTTATTTATGTATATGAGATTTGAACTAGTTCAATAATTAATATAACTAGTTTATTTTTAGTATGAAAATTTAGGTATCTGAGATTTGATGATCTAATTAAAATATTATTTGCTAATGAGTTTTTTCTGTTTATTTAATTTTTTATATATTTTGAGTTTATATAAATGTTAGATTAATGTCGAATGTTAGATGAATTAGATAGAAAATTTAAATATATAGTAATGTCAATTCTTAGAGATGAATATAGTTAGATATATTAATGTCAAATGTTAGATGAATATATATTTGGCTAGATATTAATTAATGTTAGATAGTAATAGGTGTTTAATGTTTCACCTATATGAACATAAGAAATGTTATCTGACGACGAAAAAGATTACATTATGTGCGAACACTGTGAAGACCAGCGCGGCCTGTGCGACAGAAATTTCCTTGTTGATGGTAGGCACTTCAGCATCAAGCTGGATGAGACATTCGAAGTTGATACAATAAGTCACTTTGTCAATTATTATTTGAATGCAAGACTTATGCTTCATTTGCTTCAACTTGTAATTTTAAATTTTCACTATTCTACTAGCGCATCTCCTGCCATGCAAGAATTTTTGTCTTGGATAAGATAGGTTTTTAGTGCTATAGATGATATGGAGGTAAAGAGAGTTTACTTGAAGACGGAACATGGATATACTTTCAACGTCAAATTATATAATAGAGACACATACACCCATTTTGAATGCAAAACTTGGCAAGCACTATGCAAGGCTTATGCATTTGAGCCTGGTATGGTTGTCACCTTTGATATTCGTCCGGAAAATGATATTGAAGGTAATATAGACATCTGAGTCGATGTGCAAACGCCTCCAGTTCTACTATTATGTGAGTTTTTCTCAACCATGCATGCATATGTTTATGTCTTTTATACAGTTTATTCAAAAATAGTTGACAACTAATTTGTATTGTCAGCTTATTTCGGTTCAAGCAAACATGTCCGGCACTTGGTAGACAGGACCTACTACTGCCCCGGGGCTCAACTAAACTGCGAGGAGATAAGTCATTATGTTTCATGGCTTGAGGATCTTAATACTGTCAAGACAAATTTTTTTCCTAAACTTAGAAATGTTAGTACTCAAAACGTGCGACCAATGGTGATCGTATTGAACTACGGTCACATCTATAATCGAAAGATGGTAAGATTTTAACTATTTGTCCTTAATTAGTGCATCTTTTGCATACATTATTTTTGAAGCTAAACTTTCATTGCTTAGTATATTAATTACTATACGATGTTCTTCAACAGGGACTTCCGATGACAGTTGTGCCTCAGTGGATCGAGACTAAAGATGACATGTCAATGGTTAGCTTACGGCCAAAATATCCTACATTGCACATGAGTGCATTCAGGATTTCTGAAAGCGAAGAATGCTTAATAGTGAAAGCTTGGAGCAAAATTATTAACGATCGCAGAGAAGTACTAGGGGGCAGCAAGGAGAAGCGCAACCCAAGATTAAGAGACAGATTCATCTGCATGCTCCAGTATGATGAATCAGGAGAGCTATACATGTTCTATGCTATTCTACCTGAGAGGGAGCAGCACTAGTTCATGCTCTTAATTAGTGTCTCATGTCCGTGTCCTGAACTTCGATGTTGGTGATGATTATGTTGAACTCGATGATATCTTTGGTTCTGTTACAAAGTGAATGTTTCCTCTTTAAGCTAGCCAGTGTTGGTGATGATTAGATAGCTAGCGGTAATGACTATGATGATTAAATAGTGGTAATTAGACGACTACGATGATTTTTAGCTAGCTAGAGTTTATTTATTTATTAATATGCGATGATGATGATGATGATGATGATGATGATGATGATAACGACTACAACTCATTATAACGTAAAACAATCCTAAATTAAATTGATAACACAAATTTAATTGAAAAATACAAAATAAAACAAAAACCCACAAACATTTAGTACCGGTTGGTGTTACCAATACCAACCGGTACTAAAGGGCTCCCGGCCCCCGGAGCTGGCTCGTGCCACGTGGTTTCCCTTTAGCACCGGTTCGTGCTGAACCGGTACTAAAGGGGGGGGGGGGCTTTAGTGTCCACACTTTAGTGCCGGTTATGGAACCGGCACTAAAGGGCCTTACGAACCGGTGCTATTCCCGGTTCTGCACTAGTGTACATATGTTCCTTCCTCCTCGTGTGTCTCCCACGTGCAGATGGGTTGCTTTCAGCCGGCTCAAGCTGGCAACCAGCAGGCCTGCAGCCCCCCGGCTGGGCTGCCAGCTCAACATGGTGTTGGGAGAAGCGACGCGCTACCGAACGCAGTCCAATCGCCAGGTGAAGCGAGAAGCCACGCCCAGAAGCTGAATCTGGGAAGTTTGGAGAATCTAGAGGAGATCAGAACACGCTCGTACATTGGAGAAAAACTATCCGGGAGGTAGGTTGAGAAACATGAAACACGGGTGCAAGATCCCCCCCCTCCCCACAGGGCCAGTGTTGTGCCAACCTTGAGCTGCCTGGTAAACTTCATTTGCAACCCGCTCAAGGAGTTTGTCTACAGAATAGAACCGACAAAAACTTCTTAAGCATTATCTGGTGTATTTTCAGTGTTAAAGGCACCGGTACTAGAAGTTCAACACGAACCGGGACTAATAATGCCCGTCCCCCTAGCCGTTGGAACAAGAACTAATGGTCACATTAGTACCGGTCCGTTTCCAAACCGGGACTAATGAGCTCACGTAAAGTCGTTTTTCTACTAGTCATTTCCCTTTGTTGTATTTGGTCAACACAAAGATAATTAAAGCTTTACTGACTTTTAGCATTGTCTCTATGCAACCACATTTTGTTTTCCTCGAAAGGGACGATAACCAACGGATTCTTCATCTATTGATGCACATAACCATAGACACAACCACATACGAAAGTTCATTCATTTGTGGCATGGCATCAATAAGATGCAACCACACGAGAGTTTTATTTGGTAGTACAACAAGTTACTTGGGAGAAAGTCTAGGCATAGATGATAGATTCATCAGCATCGATCTAGTGATCTTCGATCCTGAAGTACTCCAGCACGTCCTCCCTGCTAGCAGCTGCGGTGTCGTACGCCGCCATGAACTCCCTGAACACGAACTCCCTGAACTTGGCCGGATTCTCCTCGCTCACCATCTCCGGCGCCGGGCCGATAAGGCAGTCCATCTTGGGCATGATGAGCGTCGCCACGGACATCCTGGCCACGGCGGAGTTGGTGAGGGCGCGGTGCTCCACGCTCGCCAGCACGCCGTTGGTGACGATCTCCATCTGGTGCCCGAAGTTGATGATGAAGGCGCCGGGCACCGGGCGGACGAGGATCCACCGCCCGCGGTACCTGGCCTGGAGCCCGGCGACGTCGCCCTGGGAGAGCACAGTGAGGAGGTGGCGGTCGCAGTGCGGGAGCAGGCCCAGCCTGACGCTCGGGTCCGGGCACGGCGGGTAGTAGTTGACGTTCATCTGCGTGTCCCCGCTGCTGAGGTCGCCCGCGAAGAAGCCGCCGTCGAGGCCCAGCCCCTCGGCGATGAGCAGGAGCAGCGTCTGCGCCAGCTCGTGGACCTGTGCGGAGAACTCGGCGAGGGAGCTCCGGAAGCTCTCCGGCTTGGCCGGCCAGTGGCCGACGAGCTCGTCGGATACCGGGTGGCACCGCAGCTTGAGGTAGTCACGCCAGTAGCGCGTCTGGTTGCGGTCGTAGGAGGTGCTGGAGGCGACGCGGAAGGGCTTGCTCTGGTCGTCGGAGCAGTAGGGCAGCTTCTCCTCCGCCGGCATCGCGAAGAACTCCGCCGACGCCTCACGGAACCCCCGCACCACGTCCTCCGCCACGCCATGGTTCACCACCTGCAAGCAATCACGTACGCATGACCGAAAACATGTCAAGATCGATCAGAAGCACAGAACAGCTCGTTAAATTAAACAACTCGTTAGTGGGTGCATGAGTGCATGCCTACCTGGAAGAAGCCGAACTCCTTGCCGGCCTTGACGATCTCCTCGGCGACGAGGCGGCGGCGGCCGGGATCGGAGAGGGCGGCGCGCTGGAGGTCGACGACCGGGAGCGCGACGTCGGAGCCGGGCGCGTCGTCGAGCAGGGCGGCGCGCTTCTCCGGCGGGAAGACGTACTTGTCCGGCACGGAGGCGTGCGCCGGGCGGTTGGACAGCAGCTCCATACCTGACCCTGGCCGATGGATCAATGCGGCTGGCTTAAGAAAATCCTATGGGACAGGGCCTCATAGTGTCCCTCCTGGGGCCCTCCTCAGATTTTGACACGTCATCAATGGCACACATCTTAAAGCGAGCCTAATTTCCTAATTAGTTTGTACGTACATCAACTAGATATTGCGCGGTATTTGTACGATACAGTATCAATCGGATCGATACTTTCCATCTAACGAAAAAGAACGAACACGGCGATCTTCTCGCTGGCTCGCCGCTGCATCAGACCTCGGCGCCATCGCGCCTTATCCCATGGCGACCCCTCCATGCGCTGGTGACGACGACCCTCACGGAAACGGCGCCGCCGTCGTGAGCTCTCCCTGCGCCGGTGACGCGGACGTGCTCGTCGTCCCTCGCGGAACCAACAGCAACAGCCACATAATGATGTCCACCGTCTCCACCACAAACCTGCCAGCATCCAACTCGTTCAGTGACTTGGAGGTGCATACGGAAGCGCGGGCTGCTTCCTTTTCGTCGTCCCGGCCGCCGCTCGAGACTTCAGACGTTGACCTTGTCGCTGACACACGGCCCGCCGGTGGTAACAAGATGACTGTTTTTTTGACGGGTTCCATGTTCACTGCATCCTCCATGATGCAATCTGAAGCTTCAATGCCATCAGCTTCTACTCCAATTTCACATGTACATAATTGATGTCTAAACTATTGCCTCTTGATGACGAAATTAGATAAAGTTTAATTTTTGTATGATTGTACCGCAGGAGAAGGATGTAAATGCTAAATCCATCATTGCCACCGCCTCCACACAAGCCGTCAGTGGTGGCGAGATGACTGTTGCTTCGACGGACTCCATGTTTGCTGCAACCTTTATGCAATCAGAAGCTTCAAATAGTGAACACATACAACATTTCGCAATGCCATCAGCTTCTACTACAATAACACAGGTATATAGTTGATGTGTGAACTATTGCCTGTGCATGACAAAATGATATGAATTTAAATTTGTGTATGAATGTACGTACTGCAGGAGGAGGATGTAAATGATAAATCCATACCTACAGTTGGAATGGCATTTAAGTCTGAGGATGAGGCATATGATTTTTATAACCAATATGCTCGTAAAGTTGGCTTCAGCATTAGAAAGAGCCACACGAAGTTGAGACGAGATGGAACACTTTATCAGAAACATTTGGTTTGCAGCAAACAAGGTGAACGAGAAACTCATTCATCGCATGACACCAAGAAAGAAAATGCCACCACAAGGTGTGATTGTGATGCCCGTGTTCAGCTTAGTATTTCTCGTGATGGCGTTTGGAATGTGCAAAAGGTTATTCTTGAGCACAACCATGATTTGGCAAGTCCAGATAAGAGGCACATGTTGAGGTCGCAACGTTGTATTGCGGCGTCTGATAAACTTATGATTGGTGAGATGCATGAAGCCGGAATAAAGCCAGCCGAAGTGTACGGTTTTTTCAAGCAGTGGTATAAAGGACCCCATAATGTACCTTTCTTGCGGATGGATTCCAATAACCACATTGGTCGTGAGCGCAGGAAGTATCTGGAAGTTAATGATGCACAAACATTGCTGGAATTCCTAAAGAACAAGCAGTTAAATGATCCTTCTTTTTTTTATGCTATACAATTATATGAAGAGGATTGCCGGATAGCTAATTTCTTTTGGGCAGATGGTCAAGCTATCATGGACTATGATTGCTTTGGTGATGTTTTGTCCTTTGACACAACATTTCAGACAAACAAGTTTGAAATGCCTTTTGCACCACTACTTGGAACAAATCATCATAAGCAGACCATTCTTTTTGGAGCTGCGTTGCTATGTGATGAAACCACAGATTCATTTATCTGGCTCTTCAACACATTCTTAACCGCCATGTCTGGCAAGGCACCCGCAACAATATTCACCGATCAATGTGCTGCCATGGCGAAAGCAATCAGGATTGTTCTCCCAAATACAAAGCACCGTCTCTATTTGTGGCACATTTATCAAAATGCTCCTAAGCATCTTAGCCATGTAATTTCAGACCATCCTAAGTTCCTTACTGATTTTAAGAGATGTGTCTATGAGGAAAGGTCAGTGGCATACTTTGAAATGAAGTGGCAAGAATTGTTGACTGCTTACAACCTTCAGGATAACACATGGTTACAACAACTATATGATCTGCGTGAGAAGTGGGCTACTGTCTACCGCCGTGATTCCTTTTGCGCCAACATGACTTCAACTCAAAGGAGCGAAGGTATGAACAATGTGTTTAAGAAAAGATTTCGTAAGAGACTTTGCCTTTCAGAACTCCTAGTAGAATATGATAAGTGTGCCGCTAGCCTTCGGGAAAATGAACTCGACGAGGACTATAGATCACGTCAGTCTAAACCGGTCACCTGCATTAGAAACTTACCTATGTTGAAGACTGCTGCCGAATCGTATACAAGAAGCCTTTATTCTGAATTTGAGGAGCAGTTTAAGCAGCAATTTTCTGCCAAGTGTCAGTTAGTATCCACTGAGGGGACAGTCAAAACTTACATGGTGTCACCTATGAAATATGAGGATGAGGCACTGGTTGTCTTCAATTCTGAGGATGTCACATTTCATGTTCTTGCAGAAGGTTTGAATCCATAGGTACGAAAAAACATTTTGGCATTTTAGTAGTTTACATCATAGTTGTCATTAAATCTGTACTGAAGTATGAATTATGGATAGGTATTCTGTGCAAGCATGCTCTGCGAGTGTTGAACATCAACGAGGTTTTCACTTTGCCATCTCAATGTATACTACACCGATGGACGAAATATGCAAAGAGAGGATTTTCGACAAAGACCATCAAAAGTGAGAAGGAATCTTTGCAGACACGTGCGGCACGTATAGCTCGGAAAGCAACATCTACTGCAATGAAGTGCTCAGTTTCAGAAGAACTACTTACAAAATTGGAGGAAGCTATAGATAAATTAGATCTGGAGGCAGATGATTTACTAAGCGAAAAAAGGCATGCCAAACATGAGAATATTCCTCAGAATACTAATGAGCATGCTTCCAACAATATACCTCAAAATACTCAAGACATGTTAACAGGTAAAATATCATTCAAAGTCCCCGAAACGATAAAAGGTCCAAAGGGAAAAAGATTGAAAGGTCCACTTGAAAAGGCAAAACCAAAGAAGTCGAAGACCACCCAAAAGAAAGGTACTACAACCACATTTATTCTTACTTTTGACCTCTGGTTTTTGAATTGACATTAATGTATTGCACATTCATATGTATGAGCAGGAGGAGGTAAAAATAAAGTAAAAAAAATGATCGGGCTGAAGAAGGACATGAAAAATCAATTGTAAGACAATTTACGCAATGTTTTTTTATGTCTTCTAAAAATAAATTTGTGGTAAGCAGTTTCCTACTTACTTACACACAGGGATTTGGAAACGAAGTAACAACATATGATTTTGCTGCAGAAGGTCCTCAACAGTATACTGTAAGACAAATTGCTTTCTTGAACATATTTCAGGCAATTTAACTGTACCCCAAAATCTCTAAACATTTGTCGTTTTATTATGAAGCAGGGATATTCGGAGGCAGTCCCAAGTTCTAATACTGCAATACCAATCTTTGCAAATAATATGTTCAACACGGAATCTTCGACTATGTTTATTCCGTTGATCCCTGGAGGATATACAGAACTTTTGCTACAAGCTGATCAAGCTTCGGAGGTGCTGCAAACTTCAAGAAGATTAGATTTTTGATGAAGTGAACCCTTCCTTACGCATCAAAGAAGTAGGATAGCAGCAGCAGCAGCAGTATATTTTATTTCTTCTTGTCGACAGAGACCAATATATAAAGTTTCGTTTGAGACAAAAATAATAAATGTAATGGTGCACTCTCATGAGTGAGATTATTTTCCCCGATTAATTATCAGATCTTTCACACTTGAATACCATTTATTTTTGCCAGAATTTAATTTGTATTCATTCATCAGTCTTTATTTTCCCCACCCTTTTCTTTCCCATTGCACTTATGAATGTAGTAGAGCTATCTAGACTGATGATCCTGATCAGCATCACCGCTATATCTTTCATTTCAGCTCTTGGTCGACATCACAATTAGCTTTCATTTCTGCTCTAGCTACTGTGTTACACAATACAGCATCGGTTGTAATCGTGTTTCTATTAAAGGTCCATCACCAACAGAAGGTCTGAAACTTACAACAGCATGTACTGATAAATAACCCTCTCAACGTACCCAAAGTTTATCATGTATCAATAAATATCAGAAAGTTGTCGTTGGAATTCCAATTGTTTGGCCAATGCCAACATTCAGTCTTAAGATGCCACATACTACTGACAGAATTTGAAGAAGATCAACATCAATTTTAATGTGATAAAATATCTGAATGTTTATAATCACAACGCATAGATACTGTGATCACAGAACTCTGAATGTTTTTGTCTAATGATCTCTGAATGTTCACATCTCCGAATGTCAGAATGACTAGAAATCTGCAAGGTCGCCATGGGGAGATGGCTGGCTTGCCGCCGACGCCGGCGTTGCCGTGTTGGCAGGTTTGTGGTGGAGACGGTGGACATCATTATGTGGTTGTTGCTGTTGGTTCCGCGAGTGACGACGAGCACGTTCGCGTCGCCGGTGCAGGGAGAGCTCACGACGGCGCCGCCGTTTCCGTGAGGGTCGTCGTCACCAGCGCATGGAGGGGTCGCCATGAGATAAGGCGCGATGGAGCCGAGGTCTGATGCAGCGGCGAGCCAGCGAGAAGATCGCCGTGTTCGTTCTCTTTCGTTAGATGGAAAGTATCGATCCGATTGATACTGTATCGTACAAATACTGCGCAATATCTAGTTGATGTACGCGTACAAACTAATTAGGGAATTAGGCTCGCTTTAAGATGTGTGTCATTGATGACGTGTCAAAATCTGAGGAGGGGCCCCAGGAGGGACACTATGAGGCCCCGTCCCATAGGATTTTCTTCCGCTGGCTTATC